ACACACACACACACACACACAGGTTTGTTTTTGTGAATTGTGGGGACATTCCATAGGCATAATGGTTTTTATACTGCACAAACTGTGTGTGCTATTGTGTGCTACCAACCCTACACCTAACCCTACCCCTTACAGGAAGCATTTTTACTTTCTCAAAAAAAACAAAAAAAACAAAAACAAACCTCACTCTGTATGATTTATAAGCATTTTTAAAAATGGGGACATGGGGTAATGTCCTCATAAGTCACCTTCTCCTTGTAATACCTATGTCATACCCATGTCATTAAACAAATTTCTGTCCTCATGTCACAAAAATGCACGCGCACACACACACACACACACACACACACACACACACACACACACACACACACATTTCACAGTCACACGCTCCATACACAGAGTACCGCTCAGCAAAATCCTTTGTGGAAAAAATTCAAAGCATTACAAGCTCGAAAACACGTCTAAGGCACCTTAAAAGTTTTTGAAATTTGGCTCAACTTGAGGCTACTGAACACGTAAACAAAAACCTTTTGCCTGCATCAATCAACGTCTATTTCAGCTTCCCTCATAAATGCCACATCACTCAAATGCTAATATCAAGATAAAGTAAATGTTGTGCAAGTACAATTCCAGAACAAAATACGTTTCCGGGAAAGGGAATAAAGATCTGACCATTCAATATTCAATTTACCCAACAGAGCAGTTTAGGAAGCAGTCAACTGAAGGATCAATCTAACACAATCATAATGTAGCGTTATCTAATAACAATCATTTATTTCTCGAGGTAATTGCGCTCCTTGCGTCACCGCCAGCTTGCCAGAGCCAAACGCTTTTGATTTCCTACATGAATAAACAATTAAGATGAAATGACTAATCTGAGAATGAAAATTGATCAGGCTGGCCTGCCTGCTAATTTGAAGTGCACTTGGTTATTAGCAAGCAACCTCTCATATACAACAAACAGGACTAACAAAAGCCTTTACATTAAGAGCTCTTGCAAACACTAGCAAACCTCAGCACTTCTAATGAGTTTGACTGCAAGACTTCACACTTTAGGCCTGACACCAACTCACAGGCTGCTATTATCCCCTGCAGATTAACACCTAGCAGTGCCCAGTGTTCCAGGATCACATACACCCTCTCTGCAGTCCAGAGGTTTAAGTAACCAATTCATGGTTCCAGCCATGACCCACAGAGATAATGGCCCACTTGGGTCTGGTTGTGGCCAATGCACAGGGCAATGCGGTCACGGCCAGTAGTGCAAGAACAATCATTTTCAATATGGCTCTGAGCACGAGTGCCACATTTATGGGTGTTATAGTCTCACCTGTGCCGGCGTGGGTCATAATTCGTATCAGCCAGATGGAGCAGGGAAATGTAGCATAATTGGCAGGGATGTAGTTTTAATGACATTTCAACATATGGGAGTATCAGTGTCTCAGCATTTGGCTACCTCAGCGCTCCTCAAATCGCAGGTCTCCACAAATCGAAGCGCAAGAGTGTGTACACCTCCAAACCATCTCATTTAATGTGCTTTCCTTTCTGGCGGCTTCCCAGTGGCAAATCACTCAGCACATGGTACAAACAGGTGTGAATTCAAGGAAAAGCAGCATCTGCCGGTTTTGCACTTTTCTGAAGGTTGTGTTTTACAGGTAGGCTGTGAACTCGATACAAGGCGATACAAGGCATAGTCTGACTCTAGTCTGTTCGTCTCTTTCTCATCTGCTGACTACAACTGTGGTTTTGCACAATGCTGATCATGAGGAAAACGATGTGTTGCTGGGGACCTAATCAGTACATGCTGTTTCCTCCCAGACTGACACATTAACTCACACTGAGTTCAGTTCGGTAGCTGCGCGTAAAAACTCTGTAGAACGTTCTATCTATCCATCCATCCTTTTTATGTTTTTGAAAGAGGTCTCTTATGCTCACCAAGGCTGCATTTGTCTGATACTTGAAAAACACAGTAAAACAGTAATAATGTGAAATATTATAACAATTCAAAATAACTGTTTTCTATTTGAATGTATTTTAAAATGTCATTTATTCCTGTGGTGGCAAACCGTGATACTTTTATTTGTCCAGGAATCTTTGATAAAGAAAGTGCAAAAGAACAGCATTTATTAGATTTTTTTCTGTCACTTTTTATTTATCTATTGCATATAATCCTTCAAACTTAATGCGTTTTAAAACTTTTTTTTTTTTCAAGGTTTTTGTCAAGTCATTCAAAGTGTATCTTGACAAACTTCAGTTTGAGTTTCTTTGAAGTCAATTAATTTGAAAGCGGTCATGAACTTCCTTTTTTTATTATTTTGTACTGTTCTGTGGGTTCCACTTATAATGTTATTAAAATTTTTACATAATTTTGAAGTAATAAGCAATTTTCTGTCCTGTTTTGACCCCCCTCATCAGAACACTGTTTGAATAGGCGAGGCGGATTGTAGACTCGGAAGTAAATGCCCACTGCTCTGATTAACAATTGTGTATGTTTGACAGCCTACATCCAAGTTATAAAAAAAAATAACAAGGCATAATAACATGAAAAAAAGAACATCCTATATAGAGTTGCACAAGCTCTGTTACCCATTTTTCATGGATACTGTAAAAATCAAATAGGCATACTCGACACACCATGTGACTCAGAAAATCACCTTACTTTTCTTGGCCATGGCATACAGTGTGACCAGAAAAGCTGAAGCGTTTGAGGATAAGAAGAGCTGTTCAGCAGAAATTCTGCAGTCAGTGTGTCAGTGAGCAAGGCACAATTCAGAAGAGATGTCTAGAGTGGGAGATGACTTCCCACTGCATTTAAAATATGTTCTATTATAAATACACACTGAACTGTGCTTGAACTCAGGACGTAAACCTCTCTTTCACAATCTGCTGCTCAGTTTTAGCAAGCTTTACCGATGTAACAAATAACAGTACGTTTGAACTGCCAAATCAGTTGCCAAAGCAGTTTATCTTTGGATAAATACAGTACAAATAAGGAACAGTGCGAAGCAAATAAAAAAATACAATTATTCAAAAATACATAAAAAATAAAAAATATAAAGTCATTATTAAAAATATAAATTAGAGTTATAGTAAACAAAATAAAATTACAAGAAAATGCTACATGTGTAGTAAAAATATTTATGGATTTTGTAGGTATCCATCCAATATAAAACCGAAGAATTCATTTTGTGAACTCTCCTGCTGACTATATGTGAATACAACACTTAAGCTCATTAATGATATATTTGCATTCCTTGTGTCTCTAACCTTCTTCCTTCTGCTCTCTCTCTGAGGAGATTAAATGCTTTCAGTCTGCTGACATGGCTTCTGCTTGAAGTCAAACTAGTTTTTCCCATTCCTGTTCTGCTGACTGTCATGCATACCTCTTTCCTGTCTCTGTGTCTCTCTTTGTCTCCCCCTCTCCATCTCTCAACCCCAAGCCTGCAGGTAGTGATAAGGCTGTCTAGTTTGTGGTGTTTGTGTGCACCTTTGCATTTGTGCGTGCTTGTCACTATCGAGACGAAACCCAAAACAGGTATGGGACATCACTTCCTCCAGGCAGTGATCTGTCTCTTTGGATCTTTGTATTCAAATAAACTAACACCAGCACTGGGGCTCAGCGCATGCGCCCGCACTGCGATAGCTGAAGACATGAGACATCAGGGTATCAAAAAAGTATTTTGAGAGTTCTGGAGACTTATTTAGCTCCATTCACTAGACTAAACTTCTAAGGAAGTTTAAGTGGAAATTCCTCTACGTGGAAGAATTTGCTTGAAAGATTACCAACAGCTTCAAAGCAACAGCTATCTGGACTGATATGGCACTTTTTTCATGAACAGTTTTCCATCAAGCATCAAGCACTCAAACCCCCTTTTCTCTGAGAACCAGTAGGCATGTTAGACATGACAAGCAGCTCATTTGTATATATTCTCTATTGATATTCAATTAATTGTAATAAAAATTTTCAAATTAACTAATTTTCTTTACCAAACACATACATATTTAACCATTTTCCACATTTTAAATGTTATCATATGATATCCTCCCATAACAAAAAAGTTAAATTTCTTAAAACTGTCTATAAATAAAATGTCAGTTAAAAAAATTGTATGAAATGGTGGTAATACAAGTAAATAATTTGATTCAATTTTCTCAGTTTTTACAAATTATGTTGATGGTCAACAGATCATCCTTCAAAACTGTAAAAAAAATAAAAAAATTAAAAAAACTTAAAAACAAGTGAAAGTAATAAACTTTTCATAAATTAAATTAAAAGCAAAATTTCCTTGAATAATATAATATTTAGCTAGCTAGTCTCTACATGAAAAAAAAAAAATATTTTAATGTTTTTATACAAAGTGACATGTCTGTCTGTATATTTGTCTACTTAATTGTAAGTTTATTTAATTTTACTATATTAAAACTTCCTATATGGCAAACATAAAAATGAATAGAAAATATAACAGCTCATATAATAACAATTAAAGTTTTGTGAAGGTTATGCACTTCCTTTCACTGACCATTTGTTAAAAAAGAAGAAAAAACAATTCTTAAGTGTTTCTGACTCCAATTTGTATAAAATAAAAATACTGCAACAACAATCTGAAATCTTTTCTTCAGAGTGTAAAATTGAATGTTATGCTATGTAAAGGCAATATACACCTGAATGCATGAGCATGCACAAACGCTAGGTACATAAACAAACCCAGGTTCACTACTGAATCCGTGTGCTTAACACTGCAATGAATTCAACCCTTCAATTAGCATTCCGTTCCTTTCTCTCTCTGTCCTCCTCCTCTCTTTTCCTCTTCTCTCGGCAGTTACATCATCTGCTGCAGAAGCTAAAAATGGACAGGTAAAGACAATTATAGCTCCACAATAGCTGCCTGACAGTGAGTCATCACGGCGTGTGTGCGCGCGCGCGCGCGTGTGTGTGTCTGTGTCTGTGCGAGTGCGCCACAACATTTGTCAGTATTCAGTTTGTAGCAGTTCAGTCATGCATATGCTGAACTTTTCTTTCCTGGTGGATTTGGTTCAACAGTTAATCATTTGATCCTTATCTTAATTACAAAAGGTGATTAATGGTAGTTTAGTGTTTACATATCTAAGAGAGCATTGCAGACCAAGCTGAGGCGAGTCCCGAGGCTCTATAATGAAAACTTCTCATTCTGTGGCTTCTCCTTCCCCCTTATTATGCCGCTTTTGCCCTTTTTAGCAGACCCAAATCATACTCTAACTTCACAAGCAAAGGACACTAACATTTTTCCATGCATGAAGACAAATGATTGCTACAAAACACTACAGACACTACGCACACTCATACAGAACATTCAAAAAACCATCCATTCATCCATCTATATAGGGCTAGGTATGATGATACTGTAGATACCACATGATGGTAGAAATGTGACAATTGCTAGAGATTCTGCTATAAGGGAGAATATGGTAGATGTGTCTGTGGTTAAGCAGTATCGCCCTATTAATCTAAAGTACCGTAAATGCTGCAAAGTTTTTGTCGCTTGACTGTATATAGAAAGTGTCCATCATATACAGTTGACTGTGATTGAGAGATGCAAATGGGAAAAATGAAAATGCATTTTTGCATGTCAAAGATATTTTTGTACTTGGCAGGTGAAATAAAATGAATATTTTTTTTAAAGCAAATCTGCTCACCAAGGCTGTGTTTACTTGATCAGTATACAGTAAAATACAGTAAAAAATAGTAATATTGTGAACTATTATTACATTTTATGTGACTGTTATTACAAATGTTGTTATGTGTTCCTATAATTCATGTTATGGCAAAATACTCTGGTCTTCAGTGTCACATAATCCTTCAGAAATCATTCTAATATGCTGAATTGGTGCTCAAGAAACATTTCGTATTATTATCAATGTTGAAAAAAAGTTGTGCTGCTTCATTTTTTTATAAATATAATATTCAAAAGAACAGCATCTATTTGAAACAGAATCCTTGCTTTTTTATTATTATTAATATTCAGCAAGGATGCATTAAATTGATCAAAACTGAGAGTGAAGACTTTTACATTGTTTTTAAAATGCAGACCCCCTATTAAATATATATAAATAAAATGTAGACCTATTACCATTGTGAATTTACATTTTGGGATTTAATTTACAGCATAAATATATCAATATTGTGATGCTGTATATACCATAACCATGATTTTAAATCACTCCTTGCGACAACCATTCATGCATGAATACATCCAACCAAATCACATATTCACAAATGTATTCCTCCATTAACAATCAGTCAATCTACCTGTCCCATTATCACGTCAATCATCAATCACATCTACAGTATCCATCATTAATGTGGTCATCCATCAGTCAAACCTTTTCTTAATCACTAAATTCCTCTGTCTACAATCTATCCGTGCATATCTACAATGCATCCATCATCCAGTAGTCGTGGATGATGGATGCACTGTAGTGACAATCTATCCTTTCTTACTTTCAACCAAATAATTAATTCATCAATCCATTGCTCAATAACCCAATCTCTTATCTATTCATCCAACCATCTAACCGAATCATAATATTCATGAATGCATCCCTCCATCAATAATCTGTTTATCAGTCCATCCATCCATTCCCTGCCATCACTGTGTGTGTGTCGTACCTGGGCTGGTGAGTAGAGTTTCCTGGTGCTGTTGGGCTCGTGGGCACCTGGGTGTTTGTTCGGGGAGTGAGGTGGAAGAGTAGAGCAGGGTCCAGCCCCTTGGTGCCCCCCACTGCTCCTCTCTGCTCCAGACCCGCCTCCTCCGATGCAGCAGAGCGTTCCCTGGGCCAGCTCCAGTTCAATCTCCGCATCCATCTCTGCCTCCTCCTGGGCTTCTTTGTTGGAGTCGTCTAGGTGTTTCATCAGCACTGCCACGACCACATTGATGAGAACAAACTGGGCCGTGAGCACAAAGCTCACAAAGTACATCGGAGAGATGAATTGTAGGCTGGGATTACAGGTGTATTCGCCCGGTGGGCATTCTCGAAGAGTGTCCTACAGGAGTGAAGAGAGAGTTACAATAAATATATTTGAACTTCTACAACAGTTAGTTATGTTCAATTAATTTGACTGGACTCAGGGCAGTGTTTTGCGGGGTGCAACTGGTGCGGTCGCACCGGGCTCCGCGCTTGAGGGGGCCCTGCGGCGAACGGACCGAGGGGGACCATCCCCCCCACAGGAACGCGATCGCGAACGGAGCGAGGGGGAACCAATTTGGTCATGTGGTGAAAACTTGGTACCTAATTATGAGACATTACACTAGATTAGCTGCATTGTAATAAGTTGATTTCTTCACCAGCCTCTTTGTCATGTTTTCCAGAGGAAAAAAAATATTTAAAATAAGACACATTTACTTGCATTATTTTTCATTCTTATTAAAATCATAAGCCTAACAAGTGGTTTACACTTAAATTGTTTATGTTCAAATGGGGTAAGAAAAACTAATTGAATTAAATACACATATTCTCTGAAATATATATATATATATATATATATATATATAAAACACAATACAATACAATAACCTATGTTAGCTCGTTTCCACCATGGGATTAAAAAACAAAAGGTAATTGCTTGCAATTGCAAGTTTATATCTAACAATTCTGACATTTTTGTGAGATAAAATTGTGAGATATAAGTCGCAATTACCTTTTTTATTTTTTTGATCTCAATTTTAAATACATTTTATTAAAACTGTATTTAAAATGAATAAGAAAATGTAGCTTCAAATAATTCTGAAATTTTTACATTTTGTCTGAAATGTCTAACTCAAAATTTCCTTGTTTAAAAAACTGTAGTTTAACATCTATTTGGTTATGCGCTGAACACGACACCCATTTCTGAAAATAATACTAATTACATCAATCAAACACTAGCCATTAAATGATAAAACCATTTATCATGGCCTCGACATCCTAGAGGCAGTAGATAACAGGTACTTAGTGTGACAACTGTCTTCCCCTTACTCTTCTTATCATCTGCAGTTTGATTAGCATGAGCTATAGGAACAACAAACCCCAGAATGTCAATTTCATTCTAATTTACTTTGATATAACATAAACTCTCTCTTTTTTTCTCCTCCAAAGCTGTCGTGACTGAGAGGCAGATGGGTGCAGGCTCTGGCAGTAATTTTGCTTGGCCACTCATGCGTGTGGTTGGGGTTCGGGGAGGCGGTGGCTTCTCTGCAGGTACGTAAGAACTCAGGTTGTAATTTACAGCTCTGATTATGGTGCTTTAGCTGCCAGGAAACCACTGCAAGCCTCCGTCAACCATAAAACTCATTGTGTGTGCGCCTAATGGGGGGAGAGCCTGTCACCCTCCATCAAACACACTCTCTGGTGTGTGCGGGGCGTTATGCATCGATATCGCGCCAATGTGTTGTCATTTATTCAGGTGCGCTTTACTACTACTGAATATGCTGAGCTGGTAGTTCCTCCATCATATACCTATCATATAAACGCCAGGTTGGAGGGAGAGGAGATGAAACATGGCAGGTTGTCTTTACACAGGCCGATAAGAACTCATTGCTCAAAGACAAGTGTATTAGAGACAAGAAAGACACAGGGAGGATGAGAGAAACAATAATGAAATAGGCTATGATGAAATACCGTATAAAGCAAAAGGAGGGATCAAGAAGATTGCAGAAAGATGGTGAGAAGAGACTGTACTATTGTAGATTTACAAGCTGCTACCTCAAAGGACTCTTCATGGCAACCTATTCTGGCTACTGCGGTGAACCATTAGAAATCATAAGCGTCTTGCTTGTGAATGTTTCTAAAGTGTCTAGTTATATCATCCACAAGCAATCTGTCAACTTCTTCTGTTGAGCATTCTGTGCTTAAGCGGGTACTATTCATAGATGTCACTTACGATGGGCACCTTTTGCTAGGGCTGATTTGGATCTCATCACTTTATGAAATGGCAGCGTTATATCTAATACAGAAGAAGCAAGTTTTCACTTCATTCGGTTTTGTTTTGTGTGCTATAATGAATGCAGATCCAGCATCAGAATTAGTTATTTTTAACATTTTGCTGAGCAGTCGCTTCAGTTTAATTCAGTCCCAGAAAGTGACAACAGCAATGTTCTCTTGTCTTTTTTTTTTTTTACGGTGGAATAATAAAACAAAATGCAAAGAAATGTATTCCTGTTGCTGGTACACTATAAGTCTAATGCAATTATGGCTCTGTTTTGTATGTCTTGAACCCCTCATACTCAAATCTAAATCATATTTGGTTTTGAGCTGCTGATCCATGCATTATCCACTAATCTACAAAATCCCAGCAACAACAGTGGCAGATGTAGGGATGAAGATATACATTAAATATGTCATCTCATTTGAGTTCTTGAATCGGGCAGCTAGAATAACTGTTCAGCTTATGGACATGAGCCTATGATGGTCAAATATTAGCCACTGAATACGCCGAATAATTAATATTCATTAGCTAAGTATTCGCCATTTCTGGTCATCTGTGTACCTAAACTAATGTTAAAAGGTTTGGGGTCAGTAAGATTTCTATAGTTATTTATTTATTTAAAATAAATGTATACTTTTATTAAGCAATGATTCATTAAATTGATTAAAAGTGACAGAAAATACATTTATAATGTTACAATTTTGTTTATTTCAAATAAATGCTGCTCTTTTGAATTTTCAATTCCTCAAACAATCCTGAAAAAAATGTACCACGGTTTCCACAAAAATATTAAGCAGCAAATCACCATATTAGAATAATTTCTGAAGGATCATGTGACACTGAAGACTGGAGTAATGATGCTGAAAATGTAGCTTTGCCATCATAGGAATAAATTACATTTTAAAATATATTAAAATAGAAAACATTTATTTTAAATTGTAATAATATTTCAGAATATTAATGTATGTTTTGATCATACAAATGCAGCTTTGGTGAGCAGAAGATTTCTTTTAAAAACCTTCAAACTAAATAAATACAAGTTTACTAACTGTCCCCCTCACTTTTTATAACACAGTGACGCTCATGTTACTATGGCTCTTTGTTCTGCTGTACCTTCATTATGCCGTTCCAGTTGTCACCAGTGGAGACCTGGAAGAGGGTAAGGAACGCCATGCCGAAGTTCTCAAAGGTGGCGTGCCGACTCATGCCCTCACATGGGTAGTCCTCGTTGCACACTGCAGGGAACAGATAGAGGCATAGAGAGAGTTTGTATTGTTGAATACTATGTTTTGTGAATGTTTATCACCTAAAAGTTTTGTCTCAATGTTACCTATGCAGTCATGCCAAATTCAGCTTTGAATTGAGAAGAACTGAACAGACAGAAAACCAGTGAGGTAGAGAGAGAAAGGGCTTGGAATGAAAATAAGCATCAAAAGGAGTAAAAGATGAGTAGTATGTGTTTACCCAGCTCTCCAAACAATTCCACCCCCAGTGCAGCATAAATGAAGAACAGCAGCATGAAGAGGAGGCCAAGATTCCCCACCTGAAAGACACCAATCAAGACTGAAACCAGCACACATGCACTCATCCTTGACACAAAATTCAGGCAAGCATGCCATGATACATTTACACTGAATTATTTAGCAGACGCTTTTATCCAAAGCAAATAACAATTAAAAGGCAATAGCAGCACCACAATCTGGGTTGAGCTAAAGCTAGAGCCATAAATTTTGTAGTTTTGGACTGAATCTCTCTAATCTTAAATCTGTAAACGGGGCTGCCCTGTATTCAGTGCAAAATCCATTTTATTTTCTGTTTTATAGTTTACAGAAGATGGATCACAATTCCAAGTAAAAAAAAAATAAAAAATTCCTCACATTAACCCCACAGTGACTTAATAAAAAAAAAAAAACATTTTCCTATTGTTTTATGTTTAAACCTTACTAAATTGTGTTATATTTATGCTTAAAACCAGAACAAATTATTTCCCAAAGGTGTAACAAAAAAAAAAAACTTAATTCAAGATATATTCTCTCATTATTTTATGCAATTTTGCTTGTCATGTTTATACCAAGGACGGATTAATGCATGGGCCTACCAGGGCACGTGCCCAGGCACTAGACCACGCTCTTCCCGCAATGCGATTTCAACCGTGCCCCCTCAGATATTTGAGCCAAGTGGATTTCAAATGCAGCTTTCAAAAGACAAAAAAAATAGCCGAATAATATTTTTTTATATATTTGATGCGATCACACCGGTGTGATTAGAACGTTCAGTGTGGCACATCATCAGCTGCTAAATTCAAACCTGCGTTTGCGCTTTGCTTGGAGCTGAGCCAGAGACAGACGCGTTTTTAGAGCGCTGCACATTACAACCAATCACACAAGATGCAATGGCCAATCAGAGGCGTTCAGATGAGTCATCGCTGAAACGCCAGTGTTTTGTTCAGTGCGCGCTGGCTGACTGAAAAGTGCAGATGTGCATACAGCCCAGGTGAAAAAGACGTAGTATTAAATGTATTAAAAATATACTTGAAATTCAAGTAGTATGTTTATAATACATTTGTATTCCCAACATGCTTATTTGAAGTGCAATACTTAAAGTTGTTTCAAAATAATACATTTAATATGCACTTAGTATAGTATAATTTAAATATAGTAAGTATGTCTGAAAAAGCACAATTTAAATATATTTCTTTTTCACCTGGGAGATGCAAGTAAGATATTTATTTCATAGCGTAAACAGCTTTAGTGATTATAATGGGAGTTTTTTAAAGTGTTTGAACTCTGGCTAGACTGGAGTCAATGATAATGTTCTTTGATAATGCAAATATTCTTTGCGCCGCGCCCAAGTTCTCTGGTATTGTTCACCTGTTAGCTCTCGACCCCTGGGTGTCGAAGTTACGGGTATACTCTGGAACGATTAACCGGGCCGTTCTCTTTGCTCTTTGCATTGGTTGCTTATGGAAGTTATACCTTTAGTCGTTCCACTACATTAGCACGGCGTGATTGGACTGTTCCCATATGCGTCTTAAGCAAGATGCAGTATGAGTGAAGTATCGAAAGGGAACGTACTCGGTTACAAACGTAACCTCGGTTCCCTGAGATACGGGAACGAGTACTGCGTCAGCTAGACGCTATGGGAAAAAGTCCTTTTTTCTCCTGAACTGAAGCCTTTTTCAATCACGCCAAGATAATTCTTATCCTAAGCACCTCAGGGCCCAAGAAACAAGAACAATAAATTCCTCCAGGCTGAACATGCTAGCCTCGTGAAGGCATATTACATCCAAACTGCACTCAGAGCGAACTGTGCACCATCTAAGCAGAAAGAACCCTAGCCTGCAAGGCAGGGACATCCAGGTTATAGAACCAAGCAAAAGTGGACGGTGAGGCCCAGTCAGCCGCCGCACAAATTTCTGCAATGGTCACGCCGCTAAACCACGCCCACGAAGAGGCAATGCCTCTAGTTGAGTGGGCTTGTACTCCAACTGGGCATTGCAGACCCAGGGAAGAGTAGGCTAGCGAAATAGCGCCGATTATCCACTTAGAAAGTCTCTGCTTCGTGACCGGGTGTCCTTTAGCGCGGTCACCGAAGCAAACAAAGAGTTGTTCCGACTGCCTAAATTGGGCGAAACGCTCGATGTAGACCTTCAGAGCCCTAACTGGGCAGAGTAAATTCAACTCCTGGTCTTCCTCCGAGAGAGGAAGCGCAGAGAGATTGATAACCTGTGCTCTGAACGGAGTCGAGAGCACCTTAGGTACATAGCCATGCCTTGGTTTCAGGACAACCCTGGAGTCGGCAGGCCCGAATTCCAGGCAAATAGGGGTTATAGAAAATGCCTACAAGTCACCCACTCGTTTGACCAATGCTAGCGCTAGTAGCAGAGCGGTTTTAAATGGCAGGGACCGAAGGTCGACGGACTGCAGCGGCTCAAAGGGAGGGCCCTTCAAGGCCCTCAGAACAGTGGGCAGGTCCCACGTAGGGACA